TAACTCTTCAATGCGGTGAGTGGGAGGTTCCATTTTTGCGACCACTTGTATATCTTTAAGATATCACTCTGCAAGGAGTATCTGTCGTCCGGGTTTCCAACTAATTTGATGTCACCCGCGTAAAAAGAGCAGGGGGTTCTCCAAACCTGACGTTATGTCGTCGACACAGACTAGAAAGAGAATGGGAGCTAGGATGCATCCTTGTGGGTACCCGCTCGTGGGGGGAACCCACCTTCGACAGACATCCCCGCAAACGAACCCTGTAGGTCCGCCCGGACAAGAACTCTCTAACCCAGTTACAGACTTTCGGATTAAGCCCAGTTTCTCGGGGCTTGAAATCTAACAACCTGTAGTTAACTGAGTCGAATGCTTTCTGGAAGTCCAGGTAGCACACTTCGACTTTCGTTCCCTCATCTAATTTCTGTGTTCCTACGTCTAGTAAACATAACAGATTTGTTAAACAAGATCTACCATTGATGAATTCGTGTTGGGCGTTGCAGGTTCATGTATCTGAGTCAGCCGATTTGCCACGAACTTTGGAAACCGTTTTGATCGATTTTTTATACTGTGAAGCACAATAATGGAATCGGTCTAATAGTACATAGCATTTATTGTCAGTCTCAATTCGCGTCGTACCGCGTCGACCAAACGGGCGCATAACACGTCGGCGACGAGCTCGGCTCGTGGGATCGGGATTGCGTTCAATGAATTTACTCTGGATTTCGCTATACCTAACGAGCGGAATACTTCTCCCGTGTTATTAGACGTCCTTAAGTAGACGGCGGTGACGTATACTATATCGCTAGCATCGCAGAACGAATGGATCTGTATATTATGAGGGACTTCTGCTGTTGTTGGATTTATGTAACGATCAACCATTATGTTCCTGATCAAACAGGCAGTCCCGTACCACTTGAGCCAATCCTTCAAGGAATCATCAGGTATTTCCACGTCCCAATCAATTTGCATTTGAGTCAAACTCTTCAATATCAATTTTGCCGGAAGTAGTAAGGGGGATATCAAATCGAGAGAATCAAAAAAGGATGATACGTATGACAACAGAGAACGACGGGTGTATTTTGCAGGCATAGAACGCAAACAGAAACCTAGTGTATCGCTCTTTGTGTTCTAAATTATGCCCAAGGTTCGCTGCGTATCGTCTATGGCTCGACCGAGCTCTATGGGCTTTGTATCTCCACTATTATTGATCTCAATAATGAAAATACCTGACGCGTTACTTGTTCATTTCGTAAGTTCGAAGCCTTTAGATTTCAGCAGGCTCATTATGTTTGTACCATGAAATTGAGCCTCTGCTACGCTATCAAAACTCGCCAAGTTATCGTCAAAGTAGAAATGTTCCAAGGATTCTGGCAGATAAGGCGAACCGAAATCTCCGTTAGTTTCTTTGAGAGCAACTTTCAAGACAAATGATACACAACTGGGAGAAGACTTTGCTCCGAACAGGTGTACACGCATTCTACAATTGATCGATGGGCCACTCATATTGCCATCGTCAAACCGTAAGAACCTCATAAAATCCTGCTCTTCATCAGGTACACAAATCTGATGGAACATTGCTTTGATGTCATCAGAAACTGCGATTTTTCTTTTACGTAAGCGCATTAGTACCGCACACAAACTGCTAGTCAAATCGGGTCCGGTTAGTAAATTATTGTTCAATGAATCTTTCCGGAACTGGGCTGCACAGTCGAACACGATCCTGCCTTTATCGGGTTTCATGGGATGCAACACTGCGTGATGAGGTAAGTACCAGACTCGACCAGATTGTCCTCGAGAATCGCGTAGACGAGTAGCATGTCAATCGGGAAAATAGCCTTCCATCGCCTCGCAGTATTTTAGTTTCAATTTTGGATGCTTACTTAGTTGATTCACGGGGTTGTTTAGACGCGACACAGCCATCAAGCGGTTGTCAAGAAGGCGAGGAAGTCGTTTTCAAGGGAGAGCGACCTCAAAGCGAGTGCCGTCAAATTTCAGAGATCGTTTAAATACTGATAAAGCGGTTTTGTCGTTCGAGGACATTTCCTTGGCTCTCCATTCCTTTGGTTCCTTGAATTCACTATCGTACATACGTTGTATTGGTCTCTCTAAATCGTCCTCTGTCGAGGCATAACGCCATTTCGTTGATGATCGTGAAGTTGGATCCATTAGGCTCCATTCCAATGCTGTTTTAACCGCGTAAGTCTCATCGATCTTTCCCAAACGCTGTTCTAATACTCAATGGACCGCGGGAAAATCAGAACCAATTAACGGCTCTACTCGCATATCAAAGGCATGAGAAAATTTGACACTCTGGAGATGCTCCCATGACTTTAATTCTTCCGTCGTAGGCAGAACTCTTTCCATTTTGGGAAATCGGTTCATCGTCTCAGCTCTTTTCATCAGGATGGTGTTTGATACTGCACAAGATTCGGCCGAAAATGAAGCTTCAAAAGCCGAATTTTTAGTGATCCAGGAAACAGTGTTGATAGATAAGGACGTGCGTTTCCTCATCGATCCAAGTCGTTTCGCTAATCCTTCTTCGAATAAAGTGCTATTAGATCCATTGTCCAAAAACGCCAAGGTTTGAATAACTGTGTTTCCACATCGAACTCTGAATGGAATCACGCACAGCGCAACGGCGTTTCCTTTCTCTACTTCTTCTTTCTTCATTTGATAGTGTACATTAGCCTCTTGCAGAGGGGAGAGCTCCGTTGACAAATGGAGTAGGACGTGATGGGCCTTTCCGCAATTCTCTAAAGTACATAGACGGCGATAACGACACGCTTGAGTATTGTGATTTGGTTTCAAACACAAACGACATAATCTTCTCTCGTTTACGGCAATAAGACGTTGTTCCGGAGACAACTGGAGGAACTTGGTGCACTAATCGAGATAATGTGCTTGTTTACACATGGGGCACCATATCTTTGGAGAACCAGCTAACATTTCGTCGTCGCTCTTCTGAATGGCCAAGATTGTAGATTTACGGCCAGTCTCGAACCCCGAAGTCCTTTGCTTCCTTGGTGATGAATGAGCGGTAACCAGAACACCAAAGTTTGAGTTCCTTATCTCAGACTGACGTTCGGTAAATGCACAAAGGCGAGTAAACCGGGGTTCACCTTGTTCTGATGTCAAATCTGTGGCTACTTCAGCCCACTTGAGTTGAAAAGTCCTTGGCAATCGTCGGACAATACACTCCAACGTTCTGTAATCGTTCATGTCAGATTCGTAATTTAATTGCGTTAGTGTGGCCTCGAATACCCTCATCCGTTGAGCCATCGTCATCAGACTCAGGTTGTCATTGATGGGAATAGGTGCTCCATCGGTAATGAGAGAGAGCAATGAGAGCACGAGCAATCATGTGGTTTTGCCCGAAACGCTTCTTCAGTGTTTCTTTGGCCCTTTTGTAACCCTCCTGATCATCAAAGACCACTAAGTCTTCAATGGCTTCCTTCGCTGGTCCTTCACAAAACGGAATGAAATAGACCAACTTTGCATCGTAGTCGATTGGAAGGCAATCCACCGAGGTTGAGAAACAGCCCATGAATGACCAATATTTCGAGGGATCCCCTAGGAATTTTTGGATGTCTTCCTTAGGTAGGTCTGCATGTAGCATTGGGCGTATAGGACGGAATGATTCAGACTTGAAGGTCAATGAGTCTTTCCCCTGCTTCAGTTTCTCCAACTCTAGTTCCTTCTCCAAAAGCGTTATTCGCAGTCTTGTTAACTCTAGGTCTCTTTCAGCGGTGACTTCATCGAATTTTTTCCTACATATTTCTTTGGGTGCATTCGTATCATCACTATCGGACGTATGTGATTCACCGTTTGATGACATTTCGTAGGTGTCTCTATCTTGATAACTGTAAGCTCCGTGGATCTCCTTTAACGTAGATCTTATCTCGGTCTAATTACTCGCTTGATTATTCGCAATCCCAGTTGAGTTGAACAAAACGTAAGCACCTTATCGTACGGGATGCGTATATGAATATCAATGCGGTTCTGTAAGAAATAAATAACTGACATTTAGTACACGTAAATAGACCATTGGCATACATCGATAGTGAAATAGTGAAAGGGGTAAATACTCACATCAAGATTTCCCGAGTCCGCGTAAATAAACAACGTAAAATAATCCACAGAGGTCGTACGTAATAGTCCGGTGCGCAATCGATTGTGTGGGACGCTAATCACCCGGACTAACGGGCTAGTGTCACAAGGTCAAGCACATTGCTTGGCTGGGATCATGAATGCGTGAATGGGTCACAGTGGTGAGGTGACAGGCGCGGTAATTACGTGTATGGTCATATGACTGGTTGCATTGTCCTAGTACGTGTTGGCGTCGCATGACTGGTAAGCATTGTCACGGTGTACGTGCGTATGTGTTGTGTGTCACATGACTGAATCAACGAATGTGAACACGTGTGTAGGATGGGCAGATGTGTGTATGGGTGTGATAGAACCCGATCGGGAAGCGTATCGACCGCTGACTAAAGGTTCGCCAGGGCCACAACGTAAATCTTTAAGTTTACACATTCCGCCCTGAGCTGTCCTGCTCTGAACTTTCTTCAAACTTGGCTTTCAGTAAACATAGATTCCTGTTGTCTCGTCGAAATCTATTTCTGCTTGTCCGTACGATGACATTTCGAACTAAACCGTCTACGCCAGGGCGTACTTCCTCAACGATAGCTTTGGGCCAATGCTCTCGTGGAACATTGCTGTCCATCAGGAGCACTAGATCGCCGACCCCCAGGTTACGTCTTTCTCTCTTCCATTTTTGTGTTGCATTCAAGGTGGGAAGATAAAGTTTTATCCACGCCTTTCAAAATTCAGTCCATAACTGGACAGTTCTTCTCCAAAATTTGTTCAATCTTGTTTCGGCGCAACGCTCCTCAGATGGTAACACAGAACACTTTGGCGTAAGCAACATGTTGAGGCTGAGTGTCGCGAACTCGTCCGATCCAGCTGTATCTCGCACTAGCGACCTATCGTTAAGAATGCGTTCTATTTGTGTCATCGTTGTGGTGAGAACTTCATGGGTTACAAGCGAATTGCCGAGCGTCAATAACATTGCTATTCTAACCGAACGGATAAGTCTTTCCCAAACCCCACCCCAATGGTTGGCTTTCGGCGGACTAAAGGACCACTCACAATCTTTAGACAGTAACTCATCTGTGATCTTTGATTGGTTCCAGCACTTGATCGATTTTCTGATGGTGGACCTCTGGACTGTCCACGTAGTACACCTCGTAAGGCACGCAATTCGGTTCAGATAACTGACAACAGGTAATTAACCTGCTACACCGACAAGAAGCAACCTACTAACCTGTTTCTTTTCTTTTTGCTTACACTTTCAGATTACAAGAACAAACGAATTAAAAACAGAAATTTCCGAACGTCAGACTTTACCGTATAGATCAAGAAACAGGCAAAACTACAAGCCAACAAGCTTTCTCCGCCTGTAAACTGGACATTGGACATTGGACCGGAATGTAGTGCGAGAGTGGGAGGTCAACACCGAAGAGTTCAGGCTGTCCTACGGGCAGCTGGTATGCCACCCGTTAGCATAAGGAGGATACATAGGGTGGGCATCTGGAAGAACCCGGAACCAGCGGGATTTTGCAGAGCTAGACCCCTAGTTGTTGAGTTTGTGGAACCAACTTGTAGGGATAAACTGCTTGCGAACTTCCAGAGAGTTTTGGGCGCTATGTGCGGGAGGTTTAAAGTAGTGCCTGACGTCCCCAGGAGTCCGAACGCTTGGCAATCGAACGGCAGCGTACGGCCGAATGAGTGGAAGCCTATGAACCTTCAACTTAAGAAACCAAGTCCATCGCAGATAGGGATGGG